CACTGGTTCTGGTGCGCAGGTGCGCGGCCGCTCCTGCAGAATACCAGTCGCTTCTGCAACATTGGACAACCTTGCCGAGCTCCGCTTCTGCGGAGAAATGAGCGCAGGTGCGAAACCGCATCCGCGATGGACAAGCCGCTTCTGCGAGGACGACCGCTTCTGCGGTCACTTGTGCGCTTCTGCGATGTCGCAGGTGCGACAATTTTGGGCGCAGATGCGGCCACTGGTCAAGCTGCTCTCTTCCGCAAATGCGATCTTTGTCTCGTAAATGCAAGACCGCAGGTGCGAAAATAAAGGCCGCAGATGCGAAAATGCTAGGAAGAATACATAAAATCGGGTCTTAGCTATTTTAACTCATTTTTGAGTTTTAAGTCTCGGATTTTGGCGATTCCAAAGGGGATTTTCACGACTTTGAATTGGGTAAGTGTTCTATAATCAAAAGTGATTATATTTCACGAATCCATGTCTATATTCATCATTTATTTCGGATTTAGATGGAAGAAATTGGAATTTTTATAAAATCTTTCAAAAATAAAAAGTTAAGATTTGAAGGTCCATTTGACATCGGAATTGGATAATTTTTGTATGGTTGGACTCGTCTCGGAATGAGTGTTCGGATTTCGTAAGTTTTTTGGGATTTGAGACGTGGGTCCTATTGCCGAATATTTTAATGAATTTCGAATTTTTATCCGAAACATTTGTAAATTCATATGGAATTAATTCCTATGATTCGTATTGAATATATCGAATTGTTTGTGAATAGATTTGAAGCTTTCGGAGGTAAATTTAAAAGGAAAAGTTGTGGTTGAATAATTGATTGAAATTCGTAAAGCGAGGTAAGTGTCGGGGTTAACCTTGACTTGAGGGAGTAGAACCCTTAAATTATTTGTTATGTGAAATGCATGTGAACGGCGTATAAGCGAGGTGACGAGTGTCTATACGTCGTCAAATTAATTGTTTGACTGCTTACTTGAAAAATCATAAATTATTTTAAAGCATGAATTAATTGTTATAATAATTATTTTTCTCCTATTCTTTGTCAATTATTATTTCTTGAATTCCTGCATTAATTGTTACATGCTATTTGAATTATGTGCCTTAATTGTTATTTGACATTTAGCATATTAAATATTAAACTGTATATTTTCTCTCTGATTTTCATAATAATTTGTTATTTGCCTTTGTTTGTTTCATAATTAAAGCATAATTATTGTATGCTTGTTATCTTATAATTTTATATTAATTATTATATTTATTGGGGAAAATTTCTTCTATAAGAATTGGCAAATGAATATATTGGAGGAGCGGGTTGCACGCCGTAATAGAATTGATTATAATGAATATATTGGAGGATCGGGTTGCACGCCGCAACAGACTTATTAAAAGTCCATATTGGAGGATCGGGTTGCACGCCGTAACAGACTTATTAAAGTCCATATTGGAGGATCGGGTTGCACGCCGCAGAGCATCCGCAGTTCTGAAGTCCCCTTCTATTTTACTTTAGCTGTGTGTTTATTTCCAGACATCTTTATTTTATTTCAGACCTTTATTTGTATTATTCTAGAAGCTCGTGCACTTATGACACCAAATTCTGAAATAGTATTTAGAAACCATTATTTTTATAGATTATTCACTATATTTCAAACTTTGCTTCCGCATTTGTTTCTTTGATTATTAATAATTTAAAATTTGCTTAAAAATTGGTTAATATTATTCTAACATTGGCTTGCCTAGCAAGTGAAATGTTAGGCGTCATCACGGTCCGAATGTAGGAATTTCGGGTCGTGACAGTTGGTATCAGAGCACTA